CACAAGAATATATACACACATTTATGCATTCTTCTACACTCATAGCTTTCCTAATGTGTTGTTTTGTTGCTATTCCGAAACACTTAAATAACCTAAATGCACATGTTGTATCATCCTACGCACACACTACTCCCGCCTCATGCACACGCTAATACATACATTTATACTGTCGCACATAACCTTCTTGCACACACCCAATTACATGTTACCACAATGTGCATACACCTGTATACATACATGCATGTGCGTGCATATCTGTTTCCACCAAAGTGCACACACTTTGTATATATTCTTCCACTCACTGTGTCACGGTACACAAACAACTAAAATTTTTAGAGTAAATACCACCTATGGTCCCTCGAGTTTGGTGGCATCACCATCAATGGTCCCTAACTTCCGTAATTACCATCCGTCATCCTCTGAGTTGTCAAAAGTTACCTTCTAGCGTCCTTCCGTTACTTCCTCCCGTCTCAGCCGTCAAAATGGAGGGTAATATTGTCATTTGACTTATACAAAAAGAGTTAATACCAGCCAAGGTCCCTCGAGTTTGGTGGTTTGGCCATCTTTAGTCCCAAGTTTCCATATTCCATTATTTTCCTTCTTTCATATTCTCTTCTTCAAATGTATTATTATTACTATTATTTATAGTTATTATTAAATTCTTATTATTATTACTATTATTTAAAGTTATTATTGTTATTATTAAATTATTATTATTATTGTTATTGTTATTATTATATTATTAGCATTAAATAATTATTATTATTATTATTATTATTATTATTATTATTATTATTATTATTATTATTATTATTATTATTATTATTTTTTGAACAGAACAAGGAAGTCTATTAATAATGAATAAGATCAGAAATACAAGCAGGTGGGATACTCGCCCACTCTTGTGAGACAGACATAGAACCAGTCGCCCGAGCTAATACATGAGCCACATGGTTCGCTGATCTCATAACATGGCAGACGGTAACGTCTCCAATATCACAAGCAATTACACGGCATTGCGAAATAATAGTACCAACATAAGAAAAGTCAGAAAAATGGGAATTAAAAGCAGTACAAAAATTCAGACAATCGGTCTCGATAACGAAATTCCGACATTGAAAAGTCTTTAACCAAGACAACGCTTCCCTTACCGCAATGGATTTAGCCATGAACAGATCTTGATTGCATTCAAAGCGACCTCCACGAGCTGCCACGAAGCGACCCGTATGGTCCCGAACCACCGCTCCAAAGCCCGCCCCAGACGTAAAAACGGCCGCATCGAATTATTATTATTATTATTATTATTATTATTATTATTATTATTATTATTATTATTATTATTATTATTATTATTATTATTATTATTATTATTATTATTATATTCATATTCATATTCATATTATTATTATTATTGTTATTATTAAATTATTATTATTATTATTGGTGGTTTGGCCATCTTTAGTCCCAAACTTGGCCAAACAATATTAAAGAAAGTTGGTGGTTTCTCAACTTCCAACTCGAACTCCCTCTTCTCCTATACAATATTAAAGAAAATTTATTAAAGAAAATTTACAAATGTATAGGGGACGTTTACTTCATTTATCTGTTTTTCCATTTTCAGTTTTTCATTTCTCCATTTCTCCAGTTTTCTTTCTCCATTTTTCCAGTTTTCCTTCTCAATTTTTTCAGTTTTCCATTTTTTCATTCCTCCAGATTTTTATTTCTCTAATTTTCTGATTTTTATTAAATACACTCATCCTATATAGCATTTACACATTTCTACAACAACAACAACAACAATAATAATAATTTAATAATTTAATAATAATAATAACAATAAATAATAGTAATAATAATAAGAATTTAATAATAATAATAATAATAATAATAATAATAATAATAATAATAATAATAATAATAACAATAACAATAACAATAACAATAATAATATGAATATAATAATAATAATAATAACAATAATAATAATAATAATAATAATAATAATAATAATAATAATAATAATAATAATAATAGCATTTGTACATTTCTACAACAAACAACAACAACAACAACAACAACAACAATAACAATAATAATAATAATAATAATAGTAATAATAATTTTAAAAAATAATAATAACAATAAATAATAATAATAATAATAATAATAATAATTTAATAATAACAATAACATAACAATAATAATAATAATAATATGAATATAATAATAATAATAATAATAATAATAATAATAATAATAATAACAATAATAATAATAATAATAATAATAATAATAATAATTTAATGCTAATAATATAATAATAACAATAACAATAATAATAATAATAATTTAATAATAACTTTAAATAATAGTAATAATAATAAGAATTTAATAATAACTATAAATAATAGTAATAATAATACATTTGAAGAAGAGAATATGAAAGAAGGAAAATAATGGAATATGGAAACTTGGGACTAAAGATGGCCAAACAACCAAACTCGAGGGACCTTGGCTGATATTAACTCTTTTCGTATAAGTTAAATGACAATATTACCCTCCATTTTGACGACTGAGACGGAAGGAAGTAACGGAAGGACGCTAGAAGGTAACTTTTAACAACTCGGAGGATGACGGATGGTAATTACGGAAGTTAGGAACCGTTGATGGCGATGCCACCAAACTCGAGGGACCATAGGTGGTATTTACTCAAAATTTTTACATTGAATTCTTAGCCGGTTACCATTTGACGCAACAGTCATACACACGCATGTGCAGTCGTTAATTGTGCACGCTGCACACGCTGTGATACCTACTATAGGGTGGCATGTGCATGCGTCACAGCACCAAGCCCGTGCATTTCTAATGTGGATACGTTGCACACTCTGTAACTAACCATTACAATGAAGCCGTGTGCATCCCTACTGCCATCAATACGCACCCACGATTACAATACATGTGTTGTTGGATACGTATGCAAAGAATTGGAAATAAAAAATTATGGGATGCATTCCTACCATTATTAGAACTCCTATAAAAATGGACAATATATTCTTTCAATTAAAAATCATTAAATCAGCATACATTAGTTTGCTATTTCGCACTAAACATTTAATTCTATTTAATTACAAATTGAATTCTTGATCAATCATGACCTTTAAATTAAAAAAAAAAAAAAAAAATTGATGCACAGGATTTGATCTCACAATCTCACCTAAATAGGTGATCTCATAAGAACCCTCCCATATATATCATATATGTATGTATGTATCAGGGCCGTTCCAATAAAAATTGGGGTCCTGTGCGATATCTTAATTTGAGCCCCCTTTTTCAATTAATTATATATATATATATATATAGTTGTTCAAAAAGTTGTGTCAAAAATTCAAAATACAAATATTGTATAAAAAAATACATCTAAAATTTGGTTTATCCTTGTGACCAACATCATCTAAACAATTATCTAACATTTTTATTATTTTCATCGTCACAGTGATACCTATTATCGTTGTGACCAACATCATCTAACAAGAGTAAATTACCAAAATGGTCCATCGACTTTTTTTTTTTGATCAATTTAGTCACCAAGTATTGAATTTGTGTCCTATTTGGTCCTCCGTCTGTTTGGGGGTTAACTCACCGTCGCATAATACTCTCTAAACAACTATCAACATTCTTATTATTTTCATCGTCACAATGATACATATCATCGTTGTGCACACTATCATTTAACTTTTTTTCGAATATCACAATCATCTTGATCTTCTATATGAAGATTAGCATCTAACCATTTTTTCTTTGCATCATCTTTTTTGCTCATCTATTTGAATTTTTTTGTAATGAATTTTTGAAGAGCTCCCTTTTGAAATTGAGTTAGTTGTTCAATTATTATTATTTTTTTTTTTACGCTTCTCTAATCCAGATAAATATTTTCTAAAAAACATAATTATAAAATTCTAAGGAAAAAATAAAAATTTATTTAGAAACTCTATGAATACATAATTAATCAAGAAACAAATTGTTGAATATATCATTCTAAAATCAGAATTATTATGTCATGTAATATAACAATAAATAAAAATTGTGAAATAGTACATAATTTTAATTACCTGTTAAGAGAATTGAAGAACTTAGAGAATCCAATCTGTGTCTGTTGTCGTTTGTTGTTTGTGCGATTTGCCTGTTGAGATTTACTAATTACTATGTTTGCGTCAAATTACTCAAATTCGTTTTCAAAAAAAAAAAAAAAAAAAAAAAAAAAAAAAAAAACTCAAATTCATTGAATGCAAATTAGACAATTACCATGCGCTGAAGCCACTGACCGAGCTACGCCGAACGAATAGGGTTCGAATTTTGAAAGCTGACGACTGATAGAACGAATTAGTATAGTATACATAATTTTTTTTAAAATAATATGGGGCCCCCAAAAATTGGGGGCCCTATGCAAAGGCCCTGGGCAGACATGCCCAGGGCCGGGCCTGGTATGTATGTATGTATGTATGTGTGTGGTTTAAAAAAAATTATCTTTATAACGTCGATTCCACAAGGAAACTGACGTTATATATATATATATATATATATATATATATATATATATATATATATATATATATATATGTTGGGTTATGAAATCTGATGTAAGAATCTACAATTTTTTAGTAAAATCGACGTGAAATATATTTATTTATTAGAATTATTTTATTCATATTTTACATCAATTTATCAAAAGCTATTGTAAATTGAATGACGTAATATCCCATTTTCTAGTAGAAATAATTATGTAGGCGCCCTTGTGACGAGGTATCCCGTTGAGGAGAGAATCAACCTATTAATTGATATAATTGAATAGATTTGACTACTTAAAGGATCTAATTACATTTTTTTTAATTCAATGGTCTAGTTATATTTTTGTGTTGAGTTTAATGGTCAATTTGAACGTTTTTTATATTATCATCGAGTCCAACTGAATTTCCAACATTACCCCAACTGACTGCCGCAGATAACCAGCGGCGTCATCGTCGTGTACAGTTCTTGCCCAATATTTCACGTTTAGAGCTTCGACTCTAGCCATGGATTCCTTGCTATATACCACGAGGAATCCTAAACCCTGAAAAAAAAAAATTCAAAAAATTGCATGAATTCATAAGAAATTTCAACAATTTAAGAAAAGAAAAATACAATTGGATATATCTTTTCTTAATTTCGTGGAGGTTGATTATGTATAGATCTGAAGCTGTGATGGCCTGGAACGTGTTTAGGTTCTGCACGGCCCTTCGTGGGTTGGGCTCAATCATGATCGTGTTGGTCCTCGGGGTTGTTGGCGTCACTTATTACGCCGTTGTCATCTCCAATTACGGGCCATTGCTCGCCGGCGGCGGTGGCGTTATTGGTATCCTCATCTCCTTCGTCGTGTTAGTATTGTTTCACTGCCTGGTAAATCCCACGAATTTCCAATTGCTTTTTATTTTGAATGTTATTGGCAATTAAGTGTTTTTGTTTTTTAATCTTATACTTCTTTTACTCAGCTATTCAATTCGCATTCATATATTTCTTTTGGGAGTTTCGTTGAGTTTTGATTGGATTTAAACATTATTAATTTTGGTTGGTTCTTTGTAAAAAATGAGCTACTTGACAGGGTTTAGAAATTGAGAAGTCTGAAAGGCCTCAGCTATCGCCTAAATTAGTTTTCTGATTAATGCTATTTGATTGTCTGAAGGATTTATTTATCAAATTTGACTTGAAGGTAATACATTTATTTTAGCAAATGAAGATATCAAGATACTAGGTGGTATGGCTAAGACAACTTAAAATGACAAATAAAAAATCCATTGACCTGGTAATTAGGAATCTGGGATTTATGAACTTTTTTTTTTTTTTTTTTTTTTGGCAAAATGATGCGTTTTAAGTGTTCCTTTGAATATGTTGTAAAATATAGTATAAAACTAAAACAGATTTCATCTGCAATGACTACAGTTGGTGATGCTACTGTGGAGTTACTTTTCTGTTGTCTTTACGGATCCGGGTAGTGTGCCACCAAATTGGAAGCCAGCTTCAGATGAAGAAAGGGGGGATACTGATCCTTTGACTGCATCAGAATTTGGCTCCTTGCCACCTGACACTGCACAGTCAAGAATCCGATTTTGTAAGAAGTGCAACCAATTGAAGCCCCCTAGATGCCATCATTGTTCTGTCTGTGAGTTCCTTGTTATGCAGGCCTTCTCAATGTTCTTTTCTTCTTTCCTCATCAATTCAAGAACAATTTTATTCTGGTGGTTTGCATATTTTAGGTGGACGGTGCGTTTTAAAAATGGACCATCATTGTGTCTGGGTTGTGAATTGTGTTGGAGCTTTGAACTACAAGTATTTCCTTCTCTTCCTGGTATGGTATCTGCTTTTTGATTTGTGCTATTACTCCTAGGTGGGTTTTCCCATCCCATTAAATGCACATGATGTTATGGCAACTGAAGCGGGCTGGTCTTCATTTTTTCTCTCCATTTGGTGTCTAATATACATATAAATGAATGTATTCTTTATTCAATGTGGTTAAAGGTGACAATGTGCTAATACTACAGGTGTCAGGTAGGAAGTATACAGTAGCATGAACTTCTGATATTATTTTTTTTTGTTAGGGTCTTTGCTTCATTTTTTTGGGCATATAATGTTGCCATTGAAATGGATAATCATCTATCTTCTCTACTTAAAAGTAGGAAATTTCCATTATTTTTATAAATGGTTTATTGAGTTTCTTTTTTTTTTTTTTTTTTTTTTTTTTTTTTTTTTTTTTTTTTGAGGGGTTTATTGAGTTTCTAAGCTTTAAAAATGTGCATCAATATAGGACTGGCACATCCTCAATACCCTAATTTTAGATAATGTTGGTTTTTGAGAAGTCGTTGCCACATTCTTGTGCAGATTCTTTATAGACCCATCCATTATAATAAAAAATTAAAATAATAATGTCTTAAAAATTTTGTTACGAGTTCCTCATACACAAAAACAGAAATACGGGCTTTTAGAGGTAAGGCCAAACTACCACCTGGTCCGTAGATATTATTTGGTCACATGAACTTGCAATGATCTGAGCCATTCATGCATTGGTTAGTGATAATTCACAAATACCTTGCCTTTTTGGATTTATGATCTTTGATTTTATGTACAAGTAACATATTTTGATGCATAGGTTCTACTTACTCTATTGATTAAAGGTTAAAGCATTTTGAGCATATCCTGGGCCTGGGGTAACACTCCAAGGTGGAAAGAATGAGGAATAAAATGTAGGAGAGTCATTTATAACATTTAGATCTGTTATTTACTTAATTTTGTTTATTATTTAAATATAGTCATAATTGAGAGGGTTTATTCATTACAAAGCATTATCATTAATTCATTATAGGATTTACCTGGCCATTTACGAGAAGGAAAGGAATATGCTGATTATACAGATAAGCAAATCTGGATAGTTATGCATTAAGTTGCATGTAATTACATAATACATAAACAGATGTATACAAAGAATCCTTATTATGGTTAATAACCTTTGAACTTTTTATTGACCATTGTTCATCACAGGGAAAGAAATGTAAGCAAATTTTGTTTTATTATTTGCAGTTCTACACATTTCTTGAGACCACCCTTGTGACTTTATCGTTATTGCCAAATTTCCTAGCATTCTTTGGTGATGTAGACATACCTGGTTCTGCAGGAGATCTCGCAACCACGTTTCTTGCTTTTGGTAAGTTGTAGAAAGCCTCTCTCTTCCAATCTGTCTCCTCAATCCTGCTTTCTTTGAAGTACTAATTCACCCTTGTGCATTCCAGTTTTGAACCTTGCTTTTGCTTTGAGTGTTCTGGGATTTTTGATTATGCATATCTCATTGGTCTCAAGGAATACCACAACCATCGAGGTATCATCTAGCTATTTAGCTCTATATATCATTAGGCCTCATTTGAGGCATCTATATGCTTATGCAAGTAAGTTATTGCAACTCCAACCTACTCTCTCTCTCTCTCTCTCCCCCCCGCCCCCCCCCCCCCCCCCCCTCCTTCCCCCTTTCCCTGTTATTAAGGAGTCAAGAATGGGAATGCTGAGGTAAATATTAGTTGTCCTTTCAGTAAAACCTGTTATTGTCCCTTACAGTGTTATCAAGGCGTCGCCTAGGCGTTCGGTCTTGGCCTAATGTGCTCGCCTCTCCTAAGTGTAGAATACAACCCAAAACTCCACAAAACATACATGGGCTGAACCTACACACTAAGTTGACCGGTGTAATTTTCAGCCGGAGAAGCCGCCGGAATCTGCCTCACGCGCCGGCGCGTGGTGTCGGAGCAGCGGCGCGTGGTGGCTCTAATGGTGGCGCAGTACCAGCTCCGGCGTGTCCTCCTGTTCCGAGCAAAACCCACTACCTCACTCTGGCATGTTATCAATAAATAGTAGACTTCTCACCACCCTAGGAAAAACTATTCATCTTCTCAAGACAACTTGAAGTAAATAGGGTTGTGAAAGGGCTGCCCAAGACAAGATATTTTCAATATACAATAAATACTAGACTGTTCACTATTCTAGGAAAAACTATTCATCTACTTGAAGTAAATAGGCCAGCAAAAAGGCTGCCCAAGACAAGATATTTTCAATATATATATATACTTTTTATTTATTTAATACTCATCGCCTAGTCATCGCCTAGGCGGTTGACTAGTCGACTAGGCAGTCAATGGCATCTCGCCTAGAAAGTCTGCCTTGATAACCTTGGTCCCTTACATTTATCCCTTTACCATTTATATTAAGCATATCTTCCCTCGATTGCTAAAATCATTTTGTACAATATTTGTGCTACTGTTCTTATACAAAGAGAAAGAAATTGCCTAAGCAATTCCATGCTTTACATTTGCTAGCTGTTGCAACTATTTTGGCTGAAATGTATTATGCATTTAGTACATGGTAGCTTGCTTGGATGTTATAATGGCAAACATTTTTCATTAAATGTCCTGAATTAATTGCTCCATGCAACCCTAATGAAACAGTTTGTAATATTCCTGAATTAATTGCTTCATGCAACCCTATTGAAGAGGTTCTAATAGAACACGAAGTTTATAATTACCACACGAGTTATTTGAATGGAAAATTTAAAATTAGTAAATTTTCTCGACTTGATTTTTTCCTTCTGGTGACTAGAACAGTGATTTTCCTTGCTTTTAGGCATATGAGAAGATGACTCCTTCAAGATGGCGATATGACCTTGGTCGAAAAAGAAATTTTGAGCAGGTAAGTTGATTTCAAGTAGATTGTCCTTATTTTACTCTTATTAGAAGTTTCTTTTGATGGCAGTGGTGTTACATTTCAAATTTATTTCAAGAAGTTTCAAAAGATAAAAGGTCAATACAATTCTGTATTATTGACTCATTGGTGTGTTAAATAAGAGATATTGATAATATATATATATATATATATATATATATATATATATATATATATATATATATATATATATATTGGGAAGGGTTCAGGTGCGGGTATAGCTTCCCGTGTGGTTGTGCCGTTAATTCAAAAAGACGCACCTTAAGCATTAAAATGGCACACCTTAAGTACACAAACCACGCACTTAAGCACACAAACAAAGCACCTTAAGAACACAAACCATGTACCTAAAGTTTTTAAATGACGCACCTGAAGTACACAAATCACGCACCTTAAGCACAAACAAGGCACCTTAAGAACACAAACCACACACCTAAAGTTTGAAAATGGTGCACTTTAAGTTTCAACAACTGACGCACCTTAAGCATACAAATCACGCACCTTAACACACCTTAAGAAGGAAACCATGCACCTTAAGAAGGAAAGCCACGCACCTTAAGTTTCAACAACTAACGCACCTTAAGCACAAAAATCACGCACCTTAAGTACAAAAATCACGTACCTTAAGCACAAAAGCCACGCACCTTAAGAAGGAAAACCACGCACCTAAAGCTTTAGGCCGATGCACCTTAAGTTTCAACAATTGACTTACCTTAAGTACAAAAACCATGCATCTTAAATTTGACCTAGATGCAAAAAGACCAAATTGCCACCGCGTTTTTTTAATCATTGTTAATCCTGAACGTTGATTTAGGCAAGATCAATGGTTCAGATTTAACCGCACAACCGCACGGGTATATATATATATATATATATATATATATATATATATATATATATATATATATATATATATATATATATATATATATATATATATATTCCTTTAGCACCATCATCATGAAGGTTAGTTCCAATAGAATTTTAGCGGAAGCTTGTTATGAAATTTTCATGAATTTCCTATATATTTGTATAAGAACCAGAGTTGTCATAGTGGAAAGCATTTCACAATCCTTCAAGAAAGGGTGAAAGAAATGAAGGATTTTGCAAGAAACGTCGGCTTTGATATGGACTGTTGGCATCCTTCATTTCTCACAAGCCATTTATATATATATATTTAACTATCTTTTTTTGGGATCAGGTGTTTGGGATGGACAGACAGTATTGGTTTATCCCAGCTTACTCGGAAGAAGATTTAAGATCATTACCTGCTCTCCACGGGCTTGAATATCCACTGAAGCCTGGCATTGATGGTCAGGAATTCTAGGGAGCATTATCGAGGAAAGCTTTCCCGTGGGACCAATTGTATTGTATACAAGATGTACGCATCCCTTCGAGTAACTAAGTGGCTGCAAGTAAAATCGGGAGTTGAACTGTGCATATGCTGGTGATAATGCAAGAATGGCTAGGTTCTGGGTTCTGAATTGTAGTTATGTGGTTCAAATCTCTTTGGTAATTCAGTTCTTGCAAGTTAAGGGATGCCAGTGTTTCGTCTCTTAGCAATCAATATTGTATCTGTTTGCAACCCACCCACCCACCCACGTGTAACTCTGTTCTAGTGCTGCTATTGTTTGTTAACTGTGCTCCTTTGTTCTGTATTTGTAAACAAATTAAAGACACATCACATTGTAATTACAAACACATAAACTGTTAACTGCAGGTGCAGAACATAAATTGTTAGCTGTAGGTATAACAATTTGTGTCTGTGATTATCATGTTATGTGTTTGTGATTATTATATTATGTGTTTTCAATTTGTTTACATATATAAAAACTATTAATGGCAAGTACAAAATGTAATAATTATAGACATATAATTTTTAGATCAAGGTTAACAATGTAATATGAATCCTGGTGCATAGTATAACAATTGATTTTGCAATACCAAAGTAGGACCACTTTTTTACTTTTTACTGAATAAGGAAAAAGGTCCATTTTGGAAATTAACTCATTTTAAAAATAAAAGTATTATATTTTTTAGTATTGACTCTATCACAATGTAATATATATTTATATATACTTTTTCAACCTACTGAAGTAGTCAATGCTCCATTGAGGAAACAAAAGTATTATATAAAACGTATATAAAATAAATTTAAAAAGACCTAACTCTAGTTTAAAAATAAATGAACAATGTCGTTTATTTACTGAAAATTATTAAATTAATATTCGACGTTGTTTTTAGTAAAAAATTGTAGTCATTTATGTAATATTTTAAAAATTTAAAAAATTATAAGACGTCGATTTTTTTAACCCACGTCGTATCATTTATTTATTGTGTCTGTTAGAATGACGTCGAAAAAAACTGAAGTGTCAAAAAATCAGCGTTAAAAGTGTTATTTGTAATATTGTCAAGAATCTATTTTAAAACTTGAAATGACTTTCAAGAACAAAAGTATTATATTTTTTAGTACTACTGACTCTATTACAATATAGTATATGTTCATGTATACTTTCTCAATCTACTAAAGAACAAAAGAGTCAATGGCTCCACTGAAAAAACAAATTAAAAGTATTATATAAAACATAAAAATAAATTTAAAAAGACCTAGCTCTAGTTTAAAAATAAATGAAAAAGTGCATTATTTACTTTTAAATAAATAAATTTTCAAGCATTCAAAAAAAAAAAAATAAATAAATAAATTTTCAAAATATTCAATTTTGAGGCGAGGAGGAACAAAAACCTCCATACAAGTTTTTGTTTTTTTGAAAACTCCATACAAGGTATTTGATATTAAAAAAAAAAAAAAAAAAAAAAAAAAAATAGTTGATTAAGCATTTTACTTCACGAACTGCGTAGAAGCATCTAGGTTCCATGCAAATTTTCTGGTTCAAAGACACCATCACACCCCCCCCCCCCCCCCCCCCCCCCCCCCCCCCCCCCCCAACAAAAAAAAAAAAAAAAAAAACAAACAAACAAATACTTCACGAACTGCGTAGAAGCATCTAGCTAGGTTCCATGCAAATTTTCTGGTTCAAAGAACCAAAAACACAAAGTTTCCTACGTACAGGTGTCCCTTTTCCTAGTTTTCTTCCGAATTCATTGGTTCACTTTTCCCAGTAATTATAAATTTGTGTTCATTCTCTTTACATATCTTCTTGATCAGCATTCCAAATCGAAGGTAGCTTGCTCAGCTAGCTAAGGTAATCATTTCATATTTCTATAATCACCTTTGTTCCAATCGTGTGTCATATATAGTTACTGGATAGGATAACATATTCTCCCAAACCCAAATTTCTGCTAATTCAATTTCTTTCCATTCTCCAAGACTATTTGGTAGGCAAATATACCAGAGTTCACATCAAATTGTTGGTTTAAGAGTAAGAAAAGAGGAACCCAGAGAAAAAGTTTTGATCTTTGTGCTTTTATCTAATCTTCATATATAGCCTGCATATTTATACCTAGAACCCCAAGGTATATGGGCTTACCACTATATATGCAACTTTTTTTGTCTTGCCGAGAATCAAATTTGTGACTTGACTTTGAAGCCCTTATCACTACACCAAAAGCTTTAGCTAGTAGCAAAGGTGTAATTTTAATTTTTTATACTGTCACATATTTTTGAGAATCGAGACTCTGGATGTTGTACGTACTTGGACCCTTTTATCGGTCTCCGGGCAACAGTATATGTGTATGAATGATATCTTGTAGTTCAGCATAGTTTGTTTTGCAAGAGAGAATTGGTATTGTGCCCCATTTCTGTTGAGCATATAATATATATCAATATAAATCTGCAATTCAAATATCAGCTTAGGACTTAGGCTTTTAGTTGAGATGGAGCACATGTTTCAAAAATTTGGTGATCCACCTGTTGCTTGTGCAATCCACTATCAGCTTAGGCTTTTAGTTGAGATGAAGAACATGCTTCAATTTTCTTGTTCTACCATGCATAGTGAGCAAGAAAGATTGGGTATTTGGGTTTAGTTATTTTGGAAGAATTTTCCATTTTGTTTCACTGACTGCTGATAATTTTGGGGTCAGTGGAAACAATATGCAAAGGGGAAGAGGAGACCAAGACGGTTCCAGCACCTTAAGCAATACATTTGGAAAGCTAGGGGAAAAGATTTCCACCATTTTTGGAAAATCTCTCACATTTGGGAGCTTTTTTGGATCCAATAGCCCCCCTTCAAAAGCAACCCTTCCTGATGATTTGCCAGAAACTAGTAGGTCCAGTGGGCCAGTCATTGAGGAGTTAGATACTGATGATGATGATGGTGAAGTAGAAAAGAATGGAGGAGGTGATCTTGGAGAAAACAGGCAGAAAATTTTGTCCACTTCTTGGGCTAACAGAAACCCAGTTGTTGAGCACCCTGAGGATCTAGCAGATGGTAAGTTTTTTTTTTTTTGGTGATAAGAGAAACTCGGCGTCACTATCCGACCCTTGTAATCCTAACCGACAAAGGATCACAAAGCGATAAACCAGTCTAGGTAGCTCATATTGTGGGCTGGGTAACTTGTAACCCTAGCCGCCAAACGATCGCATTGTGACCCTAGCTGGCAAAAGGACTACAATGAGGTAAACCAGTCTAGGTAGCTCATATTGTGGGCTGAGCAAACCTCGCCTTGTAAATCTAACTGTCAAAGGATCACAATGAGATAAATCAGCCTAAATTAACTATAACTGACGAGAAGACTGGAATTTAAACTCGTGACTTGTAGTTTTGCTTCAGTGTTCTGCAAGTTTGTTTTCCTAATCACTGCTAGCCTATTATTGTGAATGACCCCGGTTCCTATTCTTTTGATAGACCATAACGAGATCAAGAAATTAAGGAAAAATAATGTATCCTTTGGTCCCATTAAAGGAACTCAAAGTGTGGGCTACAGAAGAGTAACATATGGTGGAATACATGGAGCCTATTTAACAGCCACAACAACTCGCCAGACTGGAAGTGATGGTGTAAGAAGCTGCTCCTTTGAATTTCTTTTAAGGAGTTTCTCTATTATATAGTAGTATTTTCATTTGACCTTTTGTATGGGAAATCAGAGGGTCTGGGAGGAGACCAAACATGCAGATGTTACAACTGGTGAAGCAACACACACAGTCTCCAGAGGAATTCATGATAAGGTATTTGCTTATCTTGTGCTATATATAATGGAAATTTTAGTCCTACAATTGTAGGCAAATAATCAATTTGAATCTTTCAGTTATAGGGGTAATAACATTCGGTTCATAAATTGTCAAGATTATGGAAGAATTAGTTTTTGAGGTAATGAAAATGTTAATTTTGATTGTTAAATGCACCGTCATGTTAGCTGATAGTTGTTAGTTGTTAGCTGATTGTGTTAATTAGAGGGTATAACTAGTTGATGACATTAGCCGTTGTAGAAAAGTGTTTGGTACATTACCTGTTAGCTGATAGGTGTTTGGTATAATTTCTTTTCTGAAAAAAGCTAATTGAAAAAGTTTCTTTGTAATAGCTTTTTGAATTTTAGCATTTTGGAGTTGAAAAAAGCTAATTAACCAAACACTTATAACCACCATGTCAGCATGTTTACGGGTAAACATGTCATTTTTTGTTGAATTGCATGAGTTTGCGTGTTCAGAGTTACATTCTTTTTGAGTTCGATGGCTCAATTGCAGTTTGGTGTGCAATTGAGTGGCCTATTTGACCCTTACTGCAAAAAATAATAATAATAATAATAATAATAATAATAATAATAATAAGAGATAATATTATGGGTTAGACTAGCATTGGATTCAATCAAGTTCCTACGGTACACAATTTAGTAGCAAGGGAAAATTGTAAAAAATGCCCATCTATAATATGTCAATTATCAATGTCACCCCTGCATTATGAGTGGTGTAAATGTTGCCCCTCAATTATCAAAATGGTGCACTTATAGCTCCTCCCGTAACGGACATGTGATTCCCCGTTAGTGTACGACACCGTTAAGTTGGAGTAAATATGTAATTTAGTTATTTTTTCCCTCCATCGATTCGAAGTACTAGCGATGGACAGCAGTGGGGAACCACAGGTTCGTTACGGGAGGGGCTATATGTGCACCATTTTGATAATTGAAGGGTAACATTTACACCACTCATAATTCAGGAATGACATTGATAATTGACATATTATAGAGGGGCATTTTTTACAATTTTCCCTAGTAGCAACTAAGATGTTTCATCATTTTGGTAGGGGCACACACTCACAAGGAAGCTTAAATCAAATGGCAAGGTGGATACAGTGGAGACTTTGCACAATTTGGAGGAAGGTATTGAGTTTGGATACATGACTCTTGTCCCTTATCTTTCATTATAACCATGTGAATGAAGAACTTACTAATATTTTCATTATAGATGAATTAGTTGGTTTCGACCGGGATTGGAAATGTAATGCCAATAAGCATCTACCTGGATGGAATGTCGGGCGCAACTACAATACAGGGTCAACTGGCAACTCGTTCACAATGACAAATCGGGATTCTCCATTTAGAGAGGGGTTTCGAGGTCTAAGGCCCGACCTTAATGTCATGGCACGCCCATCCAGGGCGAGACATAAAAAGGTTGTAACAATTAACATTGAATGAAGGTCGGCATTTGGCTTAGTTAGCCAAGAATGCTGGCATTAGTGATGTGTTTTCGATATGGCATTAGTGCAAAAGAAAGACCTTGCCTTGAGTGCTTGATTATATGGAATAAACAAGAATTGCATTTCCAAATTCCAATCATACTAGTCTTGACTACACTTAACATTCTACAATACAAAGTTGTAGTGCATATATTCTCACAGGTAGAGAAAAGGCTTCCTTGATATATGTCCGGGGAGAAAAGGTACCTACTTTGCTAATTGCTAATCCCTAATATCGTGTATTTGTTGCATTAGTGTTTCAATGCTTGGCCTCTGGCTTGGAAATTCATGAATGCAAAGTAGAGCCATCTTTCCCAACTTCGCGGCCTCAGACTCCACGAAGTTCCTTTGCAGTTTTCCATCGATGAACTCTTCGTATCTGCCCAATTCCGCCCCTTGATGATTCGAGTGGCTGACCATAATTTTCCCAGAGAGAATCTGAAATATGGTCACACCAAATGCATATATGTCACTCTTTTCAGTGAAGCGGCCGGTGGTTGTATACTCGGGAGCCAGGTAGCCCATCGCAGCACTTCCCTTGAGGGTTGAGAAGACGATGTCGTCTGCTAAAAGTCTGTGCAGGCCGGAATTGGAGAGCAATGGATTGTAACGGTGATCGATAAGTACCTTTTCAGCTGATATGTTTCTGTGAACTAGAGCAGGTTTGTTTCCTTTGTTTCCATGCAAATATTCAATACCTGTTGAACATATAGAGTGAGTATTAGAAATCCAACAGAAAATAATATGCATTGAGCCTGTTATAATCTAAGGTTGAGCCAAAGTCACTCAATTGGATTATAATTCACATGATTTAAACCACACTAAAAGATTGAATCCAATTTAATCTAACCCATGGCTTTATAGATCTATATGTTGTCTCTTATTTTTTCAATGTGAGACTCTTAACACTGCCCCTTAAGTTGACAGATTGGACCCTCTTCTTGAAGCGAAAGCTTGGACACCACTAATACCACGAGCAAAACAACGGGTGAACACAAAGTGGACCGAACAGATTCGGATACCACCTTATAATCTAAGGTTCAGATTCGGATACCACCTTATAATCTAAGGTTGGACTAAAGTCATGCAACTGGGCTATAATACACATGTTGTCTCTTATTTTTTCAATGTGAGACTCTTGACACTGCCCCTTAAGTGGATAGATTGAACCTTCTTCTTGAAGCGAAAGCTTGGACGCCACTAATACCACGAGCAGACAACGGGTGAACACAAAGTGGACCAAACAGATTCGGATACCATGTTATAATCTAAGGTTAGGTCAAAATCATTCAATTGGGCTATAATGCACCCATGGTATAAACCACACTAAAAGATTGAATCCAATCAATTAATTAGTCTAACTCATGAGATAAGTTGTATATACAATATTGATGGACTAACCTCTTGCAATGCCTTTGATTATAGATACTCTGGTAGACCAATCCAGAACCCTATCTTTATTGTCCTTTACATCAAGGTACTGCAACAAACTTCCATTTGAGACAAAGTTGTAGATGAGAAAGCACTCCCCCCTGTCCTTTGAACAGCAAAATCCTCTCAATCTCAAGAGGTTTTCATGTTTCAACGAGGTTAATAACTTCAACCCTTTCCTAAACTCAGCCTCGTCGGACTTGCAACTGCTCTTGGAAATACATTTAATAGCCACAGAAGAACCATCCCTTAGTATTCCTTTGTAGACAGCAGAGAAGCCACTCTTGCCCAACAAATTCGTCTCCGAGAAGTAGTGTGTAGCGGACTCTACTTCATCGAGATTGAACATAAAGCTTTCGAGTACTTCCTGAGAGAATGCTGCATTCCCGTTTCGAGCCTTGGCCAGAGGGTCCCATCCATTTGAATACTCGAGATTGATAAGAGGAGATGCACTTCTTCGGGACACTTCCTTGGCTTGGTCAGTACTGAGTCGACTATCTGAAGAATCGATAGTACTTCCGATTTTTTGCTTCCTTCGACGGTACCATGAGAACGTGAAGAGTCCCGTTGCAAAGAATGCAACAATTAGTCCAAGGACACCAACAACAACAACAGCAGTTTGCGGTTTTCTTGGCTTGTTCAAAGCGTGTGGCTGGACATTTGCTGATTCCGGGATGTCTTTGGTTGGAAGATGATTAGAACCGGGCCCAAATGGTTCGGGTTTGCTAGGGTTTAATGCAGAATCGGTGCAGAGTTTTAAAGAAGAAAACCCGATTCCACATAATCCAGGGTTATTTGTGTACTGGAATCCTTCATTCAGTCTCTTCAAAGCTTCATTCAATCATTTCCAATCAAACAAAGACAAAAAAAGGATGGAGTTAGGTGAGCTTCATTCCAATGACCTAGTAAGGCATACTATATGCATATTAAGCATCTCAAGTATGTGACATTGGAGACGTTGAGCATATAATATATAAACATAAACGTACAATCCAACTATCAGTTTAGACATTTAGTTGAGATGGAGCACAAAGCCAATCCCATGCACATTGGAGATGTTGAACATATATAATATATAAACATAAATGTACAATCCAACTATCAGGACTTTTAGTTGAGATAAAACACAGAACGAATCACATGCACATTGGAGATGTTGAGCATATATAATATATAAACATAAATGTGCAGTCCAACTATCAGCTTAGACTTTTAGTTAAGATAAAAGACAGAGCCAACCTCATGCTAAAGGTGGCTTATGCATTTAGTTGAGATAGAACACATGTTTCAGTTATAGAAAAAAATAACGGGATCAAATAATTACCCAGAGGGACATTGCCGGAGAGGGTATTGTTTCTAATATCTAGAATTTCTAGCTTTTGAGCATTGGCAAGTTTAGCTGGAATTGAACCAAAAAGGTGATTAAAGCTCAAATCCAGCCTTGTTAACAGTGTCAAGTCTCCCAAGGTTGCAGGAATTGCTCCAGTCAAGTGATTAGATTGTAGGGCAAGAACAGTAAGATTCTTGAGAGAGCCGAGCTGATTAGGGATGTTCCCACTTAACTTGTTGTAACAGAGCTGCAAAACTGCAGGCACACAAAACCAATCAGACTGTCCATTTAATTTCTTTGACTGGAAAATGCAAAATAGGTGTAAATAAAAGTTACATTTACACTAGCAATTATGTTAATCATACTTTGCTAATCAGTAATCAACATGGCCTTAAGGCTGCATTAGAAGTTCATACACAAAAGCTATATATCCTCTCAACTTAATAGTTCAAAATTGTTGGCCAGAGGCCCATGAAAGGTCAAGTCCAACACCAGTGGCTAGGGATTGTTGAGCAAGGGCCAAAAAGCCAAGTATAGCAAAAGCCAAGTAAGCCAAGTATAGCAATCTACCTCTCAAAAATGTGGCAGTTACGTTTTCACTATTAATTATAACTTTTGACACAGTGTTTTCACTAAAGGGGATGTTTGGTTGGATGAAAAAAAAATTCCACGAAAAATATTTTCTTTAAAGTGGAGGAGAATTTTTTTTTTTTTTTTTTTTTGGTGTTTGGTTCATGGAATTATTCTTCAAATTTGAGGAAAACAAAATCCTTGGTTAGACCAAGGATTTTGTTTTTCATAGAAGATGGGAAGAAACCAAAGGCTTTTGTTTTTCATGGAAGATGGGAAGAGAATAATATGATTTGACTATTTTACCCTTGTTTTCTTTCTTTGATACTTTCTACTTTCTCAAACTACTGAAACACAAATAACCAATAAAGCCTCAATCACAATCTTCCAAATGGAAATCCAACCCGGGTACAATTAGAGGTCCCTTGTTTTCTTTCTTAATTATAGTACTCTTATTAATTTGTAGGAGCATAGGTATTTATACTCATTAATCCTTACAATTCAAAATCTAACCAAACAATAGAATTAGTATTTCCAATAATTTTTTTGGACCAACCAAACAATAAAATTCATATTCCTAGTAATTTGCTTTTTCATTAAATTTCAATTCCTCTTCTCTTAAAATATTTTCTGCAAACCAAACAAACTTTTGACACAGTGAAGGTGGACTTAGTAGTTGGTCCAAATTAAGTCCTGAACAGTAAATCAAACTATAGACTATAGCAAGCCAAATAGTTGGTTTAGTGTTGAGGACTTAGTAGGAAAAGGCAACAATTAAGCCCACTATTACCTCTTATGTACTAACTTGGTAACATCCCTTTTTACCTTCAACCAGCATTATTATTAGCCCTTTTGAATCATTATATGAGTATAGTCACTGAGCCCACCAGATTATCCCAAAAATGTATCAAAAGACAAGTGCAATAAACCCTGATATTCTACCCTTGAGAAAATGCACATATTCAGCCACAGATCTGGGCACAAAGGTTCCATTTATTCAAGGCAACAAATAAAGAAAGATTGAGAGAGAGAGAGACCTTGAAGACTAGTGATGTTAGAAATCTCAGGAGGAATGGAGCCAGAGAGATGGTTAACATTGAGGTACAAATCCAAGAGGTGAGTCAAGTTAGCTATCTCCCTGGGCACAGCCCCATGAAGATGGTTGAAGTGAAGGTAGAGTCCTGATAAGGTCTTGATCTGGGCAATCTCAGGTGGTATCTTCCCATAAAGCCCTTTTCCCTGCAAGGAGATGTTGACCACCTGGCCAAGCTCATTGCAAGCAATGCCTTCAAAGGAGGAGTGGTTGCATGGGTCAGTGGCATTGGGTGACCAGGAAGTGAGAACCAGGTTCTGTGGATCCAAACCAGCCTTGATAGCCATGAGGACAGAGATATCTGTGGCAGGATTCGTGAGACAAGGGCTTGGATATGCCAGGAGCACTGTGGATAACCAGAAGAAGAATGAGAGGGAAGCCATGTCTGTATAGGCTTTCAAGAATCAAGAAAACAGAGTTAAGAGTGTTGTTTTTTACTGGAAAATGTTGAGATAATATTCTTCCGAATCTTATTTAGAGGGGGGCTTAAAAAAACATATATAAAGACTGTAAAAATGGGAGATGGGTTTAGAGTAGGAAGAGGGTGACTGTGTAGCA